TTGTTGGCCAAAAATGGGTCTCAGCTATTCCCAAACTATTGAGAAACCCCAAACATTCAGAATATTGTTTTGACCATGTGGAGAAAAAAAAAAATCAGGAAAACAGATTGATGATGAATGGGAAAAGGTCTTCTTCCAGTTCTATTGACAGGTTCTTCCAGTTTATTCTCTGAGGATAAATCATTTTCTATTTTTAAATGCAAATTTATCTCTCGATACTTTACACCCATTTGTTCCTGTGCTGTCATTGTCCATTGGTGTCTAGAGCCTCCCCTCTGATATTTAATATTTCAACATATTTTCACAGAGAGGATGATATCTCCCCTCAGCCTGGCTTTGCCAAGTGAAACCAAATAAGCTTTTTTATTCCCTACACCTTAAAATAAACTCCGTTTCCATGATCATCTTAAATACCCTTCCCTGTATCTACTTGAACTGAGGGTGTCTTTTTTATACACCAATAAGCAGAGTAGCACATGCTACTCAAGAACATGCTTTTTATAGTGTCCTTATGAACATTTGACTTGCAATTATGTAACCGTAATTTTAAGGAGCTTTTAAGTTTACAGTTTAAGCTCCTGATTATCACCTTTTCCACATCTTCACTTCAGGGGTGTGTGGCAGATAAAACCTTTATAGAGCCTCAAGTGCTGCAATCACAGCAGCTCTGATATCAGGATTTTCAGCATCCTGCCTTTGCCTACCCACTGGAGGAAAAGCTGGATCCTTATGCAGGGAAAAAGTTGTCATCTCCCTATTTTAAAACCCTAAGCAATTCCATACAGCTGCCTGCCTGAAACCTGGACCAAGGTTACCAAACCTGAGCACTTTGGGGTTAGGATATGTCAGAATTAATCTGGTTTGGACTTCTAACCCTGCCTGCCTGTGTACATGTCGTGTGACACGGTGAATTAGTTGTAATTTCTCATTTAGTCCTCTGCATGGGCATTTCTGTCGGAATGAGCAGTTCTTTGATGATTTGCTCCACTTTTACTGCTTGCTGAGAGTCTCAAACACCGTTATTTCCTGCACACTCTGTTTTTCACATGCTACCCCAAACCTAACTCTTAACAAAGAAAGATTAATGCCTGCAAAACTCAGTTTGTACAGCTTAAAGGTCTATCAAGAAGGAGCAAAGTACCCTGCACTAATGTGGGGATATGGACTAAATAGCTTCTGGATGACTGTCCACCTTTATATTTCTTATTTTGTATAAAGGCACCCACTGAAACACACACAATATATTTGCTGTTGTGCTTTCTTGTTCTTTCACTTTTATATTCATACTGATGTCAGGCAAATTTTGCAAAACAGAGATTTCTATCTGTAAATACATTGCAGTATATATTGATATACAGACATTCAGAGAAAGATAAAGCTATGTGATAGTTATCTCTCTGATTCTCCAGCTGTGCAAGACTATAGCTGTCACTGCAATCACCTCCGTCTTGTCTTGACAAACCAATGAGCTGTGCTTGAAGTGACCCTTACAAAGGAGTTAAATTAAAATCATGTTAAAAAGCATTTCAAATCATAACAGACAAGACATTTTTTTTTTTAGAGGCTTGACAATGTGAAATAAAGACTTACTGCCTTGCTATCCAACCACAGCAAGGTTTCCAAGGCTCCCTTCAGCCTCACTGTCCTGGGCTGCAAAGATGAACACCCATTCTCTGCTGATAAAAGATTTTTTTTTATTGTTGTCTTGATGCAAAAGGAGCCACTATGAAACCGCAGGGAGACTGGCCTGGCAGGAGTGCTGGTTCTGTGTATATCTGACAGCCTGATTGGATTTTGCACTACTCAGGGGTGAAAATATTTTTCTTTTCCTTCCACAGACAAATACACGGGAATACTTAGCCTGACTTGTAATCCCAGCCCCATTATCCTTGCCTGTGCTAGCATGTACTGCCTAAAGAGAGACAGATAGACAGTAGGGATACTACATGTCCCAACAGGAAAACCCTGATTTCATTTCACAAGTTATCCGTGGCCTTATTGCATCAGAAATGTCAGCCATGAGTAATTCCAGAAAAGCTATGACTGATGGGGAGCAATAAATAACACTGCAGAGGAGCCCAGGCAGCTAAAGGTGGATGATCTCTGATCTTGTCCTATGATCTGGTGATGTTAGTATTCTCTTTAATATACATTCCAGGTCTTCCCCTGCTGAGGCAGTGAATCTATGGATTTAAGCTAGGACTGCTCTTGTCCCTATAATAAATCAGCCTCCTTCCTAGGGACCTCTCTTGGTCCTCGCTGCTCAAACTGGTTTCACAGAGCACACACAGACAGGAAGACAAACCCCAGCCAGGAGAGTAGTTCCCAGTGTGGAGAAAATGTCATTTCTTCCTGAAAAAAGGCAGGTACAAGGTTTCTTCCCTGGCAGACAGAAGAGGGTAGTCCTCTCCTTTAGGTGTTTTTTCCCCCATCATGTTACACTGATGCATTCATGAACCTACAGGCATTTAATACGGTTCTGATGAACTTGATGCATTCATGAACCTACAGGCATTTAATAGGGTTCTGGTGAACTTACTCTAAAAAAATCTATACCTTGTTCCTTTCCCACAGTTTATTGTTGCTCCTCTTGTTCTGATTATCGCTAATGGACACACTGAATGAAGGATCTCATGCCTGTCACACTGTGGAGGCTATGAAGTGTCTAGGGATGGCTTAAAGATTAAAAAAATCTATACCTTGTTCCTTTCCCACGGTTTAACTATTGTTGCTCCTCTTGTTCTGATTATCACTAATGGACACACAAAATGAAGGGTCTCATACCTGTCACACTCTGGAGGCTATGAAATGTCTAGGGATGGCTTAAAGACGGGACAACATTTCCTATCACAGGGTGTAAAACTTCCTGCAACGTTTCTTTTGCTGTCTCATTTTGCTGCATCCTACATCGCAACACAAATACACCCGCTGAAAATAGTGATGTTAGTTCTGCTGGTGAAAAATATTGTGTATCCTCAGAGTTTGGAAAAAAAATACCCAAAAGCAATAAACCAAAACCAAACAAAAAAACCGTGTATCCTCAGAGTTTGGAAAAAAAATACCTGAAAGCAATAAACCAAAACCAAAAAAATAAACAAAAAAAAAACAAAGATTCCTATGGTGACAGACCAGTGTCATTACTGTGGGTGCTTCACTACCATAAGCCATGCAAAATGCCTAGAAGAAAAGTTAAGCTTGTGAATAGTAGTTTGTATCACTTGTTTGTATCACCAACTGACATCAGAATGGCACAAGGGTCAGTGGGAAATGTTAGAGGATATGGTATTAATTAGAGAAAGTAAGTCTTAGACAAATCCAATTTCTTTCTTGTATAGATGGAATACGCTTATACTTGGGTAAGGCTCAGTAGTGCACAACATCAAAAAATAACATTATGCAATATCAACAGAGTACACAATAAGGTTGCCAAACATCTAATCCCATGCTCCCTATTAAAAACAGATGGGATATTACCTTTTTCATATTTCCCATATGCTTTTAATACAGATTCAGGATCTGAGGCTGAAATGCACTGCTGTCTGCTGCCTTGCTCCTCCCAGCCTTCTCTGCAGATAAGGGCTGCCATCTGGGCCATGTGAATAGTGGCTGCAAGAGGCTGAAAAGAGCAAGCCAGGGACAGAAAGAGGAGGGACAGAAAGGGTTGTTGGTTACTGTGGAGGAGAGGGAAAAAAATGATCTTCAAAAACTGAGTCTTGGTAGAGAACATCAATAAAAAATTAGCAAGTACAAAACTGACCAAGAACTAGGTAGCTGACAGAGATCAAAAGGTAGCTTCTGTTGGCAAATCTTTATAAAGTAAAGGGGTGTCCTGTGTTGTTCTGTCAAAATCAGCTGATGGCCTGATGCCTTATCTATGTCAAGAAACAAATATAAAGATTAAATACCCAGATGGGTTGATGGGCTGATATGTTATGGGCAGAACATTCAAACATGGGCACTTAAACTATGTAGTGTGTTGGATCTGGGCAAACAAACTGGATGGATTGGGTCCTGGAAAGCTAAGACTGAAAAGGAATCAATGAATACAGTGAACAAACAGAGCATCATGAGCTCTCCTATATCTGTGGAAAAATGGGCTAATGGGATCATTGAATTCTGTCAGTAGAAAATGGGATTTAGCACCACTTTTGTATATGGCACTGATATGGAGGAAAACTGTTGGCTTTTCAGACATACACGCTTCAAAAAGGATTCAGAGAACAGAGACAGGGAAGGAAAGAAACACTCTCCAGAACTCAAACCTTTCAATTTATTAAAAAGCAGACAGCTAAGTGATTTGATTACTCTGGAGGTATCTGGAAGAGGAGGAAGAGTCAATGCCCAGAAACTCACTGATGTAACAGGGAAAGAAAGAACAAGAGACTCTCATGGGAAACTGGAGACAGAAAGGCTGACAAGAGACAGCAGGCAAGCACTTGTGACAGCAAAACCAGGGACAGCATCCAACATCTAGGCTCACATTCAGGTGGTGTTAGATACGTCCAGCTTTTGTATCTTCAAGATGAGATGCTTTTCTAAAGCAGGAATTTTAACTAAAAATAAAGGTCAATGCTGAGGTATCAAAGTGAACAGCATTGGACTGTGTCATGCAGGAGATTGAAGCTGAAGATGAAACAGCTCTTTCTGGCCTTAAAGTTTAAAAGTATATAAATAAAGGTTTAGACCTACAGTTTAATTAAGGCAGCAACTTCAAGGCAAACATCCAGGACCTCTGCTCCCGGTTTAAAGCATCATGGGCATCTCTGTGCTACAGAGATCTATGAGCATCAGCAGAATGACACAGTGATTCAACCTCACGAGTCCAGCTGTACTTGGGCATAGCTCTGTTATGGAAATTTTACAATGTGTTTCGTTTCACCCCGGTTAGTCATATTTCAGTCAATGGAGAACCTACTCCCTATCTTAATAAGCGGATCAAGTGGTTAAATTGCCTCACAACACTTAAATCAGAAACTGCTGATACTGCATCTGCTACTTACCTGTTGTTGGCTTCTACTGGAAACAGTGGGACAGGCTGAGTCACCATCAAGTTATCAACTGGCAAGCCGAGGCCTCTCTGAAGGTCTCCGGTCTGATGGGTGTTGATAATTGTTCTGGCCAAACTCTTTAAGCTGTCACTTGTCAACTCATTTCTTGGATGGTCTGGTGGATCACCAACTTCAATAATGAGAACTCTTGATGGACCAGCCTCATCAGATGGCTGCAGAGCTCGGGTACTCACTGGTCCTCTCCCCACTTTCTGTGAGATAGACCTGCTATGAAAGGCTGTACAAAATGCCATGTCAGGGCAGTGATACCTCTTTTTGTTAGCATTGGCTGAGATTACCTTCAACATGCTTTCACCTCCCAGCACGTGATGGACTACTCTGACTTGGTCGTGATCAATCTTCAAGAAATCAGCTAATCGATGTATTGTACTTGCTTCACCCTCTTCCCCAAGAGCCTCAGTTACAGTGAAAGCCACAAGAAGGGAAAGGCCAGCAACTATTTCTACAGGTTCCTTCTCGTGCAGGAGAACATAGAGAAGATTGTCTTCAAAGCTAAAGTAATTGGCTCCCGCCCCTTCATTCAGTGAGAAAGAAGATGGAGTTGGAGAGACATATTTCCCTTGAATGAAAATACGGAGGCTGAGTGGTTCGTTGTAGAATATAGCAAGGGGCACTCTGGTTGTGTTATGGCCACTGAGGAGATAAAGTCTGAAAGTCAGAGGTGCTAGCTCTGGGAAGCAAATTGTCGTGAGTTTGGTGGATGGCAACACAGAAAATAAAGTAGAACAATGCTCTGCAGTATAACAATATTCCTGCAATGTCATGTCACTGAAGGTGTCCATAAAGCTGCCAGTCATTGCTACCACTGGAAACAGTCTCTGGCTGACCATAGTGGGATCCAAGTTTTCTAGGATGACAAGTGCATGATCTGCCTGTTTGCAGAAGTAGCCTTGTACTGAGGGCTTGAAGATACACTTGCTGTCATCTCTGTAAATTCCTGTAAGAGAATAAAGGGAGATGGGGCGAGAAAAAAATAATGAATTATTACAGACATCATCTCAAAAGTTCATGGTATAGCTGCTTATTTTCCCATTCAGTGCTCAAAGACAAGTTGTTGATGCTAACACTTTACATAGTTTTAAGAGAAGCCTGGAACTAAGAGATATTAAATAGGTAGAAACTGCATCTACTTCAAGATGTCCTCGGGCTGAAAATGGTTGAAGACTGCTAATGAGTTCTCCTGCTTCCAGGTCTGTAGCGGGGTAAAAAATCAGGGCATGACTACAATTCTTTGGAAAGATGATTTAACAGTATATGAAATCTTCTTTTCCCACTCACAGGGATTCTATGTCAAATGAAAAAACCAAACAAAAAAAAACCTAGAAAGGACCAGAACACCATTAATCTACTCCAGCAGTGAACTGCCACAGTAAGTTTTACAGCTAGAAGAAAGCACCAGATTCAGAAGTGTCTATGCTCCCATTGCAACCAGTGAAGATTTGGAGTTTAAATAGTTTATGCATAGGCAGGCTTCTAGTATCTCATGGGATGCCCTGAGGTATCTACAGAGGGTCTATAGAAGACCTATGTGCAAGAACAACAGCTGGAGACCTAGTGGGACACCCCCCAGCATCTGAAATTACACTGGACACACGTTTATGATAACTGAAACACTCCAATTTCCCAGTTATCAAAACAGACAAAGTAGTTTAGAAAGCAATGAAATTCACCTTGAGATACCTCTGTTTTGTCAGCTGGATTGCCCTTAACAACCCTCTAACGTTAGTGACAAGTGGTAGGATCCCGTCACTTAAACACAAGTGTGTAATGTCACTTGGACGTCTTTGGGTAGCTACAATAGCTGCAGATGTAACACATGATCCATGGGAATACAAAAGCCACTTCAGGTGACACTTTAGGTATTCTTTCACTGAGTCTGACAGGACATAAGACTGTTCTGTGTATGTCAGAATTTGCCACTGAATCCCATCCCAAGCGTCTGTGGTGACAAGTCAAGAGAATCCTTTTATGGAAGGATCCATATAGAAGAGATGTAATCCAAACAGTCTTCTGAGTTAGGGTATGCTCCACCTGACCAAATATAGGTCTCTGTTTTAAGATTAGCAAAATTGTGCCTCAGGCTGTAATGATGAAATCATCACTGATTATAAAGAGAGAATAAAAGTAAATGAGTTCAGATACGGGCACCAAAAGCGTAAACATTTCTGCCTGGAGCGTCTTAGAAAAAAGATGTGTGTTTCTGTTTTTCCTTCCTCTCTTCAAAATAAAATCAAAGGAGGAATTTGCTGCTGTAGCCAGCTATAATCCTCCTTCCCTCCACGAGCCTGCTCCTTCCTTAGCTGTGCTCACAAATATGTTAGGCAAGGCATAGCCAATGTCTAAATAACTCTGCGTTCCTCATTCAGCAGCTCTGGGGACGTGCAGGCAGATCAACAATGCCTGGCATTAATGATGAAAAGAAAGGGCCAGCGACATCCTTGGGAGTCACAAAGTTTTGGATGAATAAAAGGGCATTCCCCTTATCAGGGAAACATTGGAACTGTGAAACTCACTGCTAGCTGAAAATACCAGACTCCTGGAAAAGAAATGAACTATGAGAGTCCGGGCTCTGCTTATAACTACGTCTTGATGCCTGGATCTTGTGGGCACGCACTTACCTATGATTTATTTCAAGGGGATTCCTCATGTACAGACTGCTACCCAGGTCTGCAAACGTTTCCCAGAACCTGCTTATAACTACGTCTTGATGCCTGGATCCTGTGGGCACTTACCTATGATTTATTTCAGGGGGATTCCTCATGTGCAGACTGCTACCCAGGTCTGCAAACATTTCCCAGAATGAGCTCTCGCTCTGCATGTCACCGAGGAAAGCAATGAAATTATATAAATGTCAAGCTTTGTTCGAGGAGGATGTCCAAGTCAGATAGGATCTGTGTGAAAACCCCTATTTTTAGACACCAGCTTACCGTTTTCTTCCCCTTTTTCTTGCCAGGAGGATGTCCAAGTCAGATAGGATCTGTGCGAAAGCCCCTATTTTTAGACACCAGCTTACCTTGCCTTTCCTTTTCTTTTCTTTCTTTTTTTTTTCTTTCTTTTTGCTTTATGAGTGAGTGTAAGTATTTTGCTATTGGCGTGTGCCAGGGGCAAAGGGAGAGGCAGCAGCCTCTTCATTCAGAAGAAGTGGAAATGCTGCACTCAGAGATATTGGGTATTGTCCCAGAGCGGTAGGAGGACGCAGCCTGCAGCAGGCAGCCAGCCCACGAAGGCTGACACATCTCATCCTCTGCTCTCCCGGAAACTCCCCATCTCTTGTCTACAAATGGGATTTGCCAATCTTTTGTGATTTCCCAGGACTTTCCTTTGCCCTGCCTGCCTGGCCAAGTGGGTTCGCTTGGTTTCCTGCACACACACCCGTGCACGCACACGTATCGTTGCTTGTCTCCTTCCAAATGGCCTTATCTGCCAGTCACAATTTCTGCAGCCTGCAATTTCGATCACTTTTAAATGAAACCCATGCTGGCCTTAGTAATCATAATGTCATTTACAATTTACCACAAAACACGTTTATTCAGTTAGTAGCACATTGGAGAAAGAGAACTCCATATGAACTCGCTGCTGAAGCCCTAATCTGATTATTTCCTCATGAAAATCCAAGCAGGGGTGCTTGTAAGAGGGGTCTGAGAGGAGAAGGAAAAAGTGAGTCCTGGCCACAGCTGACTCTCATAATCAATGGGAATAGATAAGTGACGCGGCGTGTCAGGGCCAGCAGCTAATCTGCCCCGGGGCTTTCCTCTAAAAAAGGCCAGAGTGGACAGGACTTAATAAATACTGAGTGACCACTGAATATTGAGCTGACATGTGCTATTTACATTGGAGATGAACAATAACAGTGATAAATTCCAGAAGCATCCTCTCGCAATGGGTGAAATTAGATTAAACAGGTTATATATTTACGGGTGTGTGTGTGCTTGCACACACACGTGTGTGAGAGAGGGGAAAAAAATGGGGAGAAAAATAAAAGAAAGCGAAACCTGGCGAGTGTGAGCCAACAAGAGACTCTACAAATGGGTGTGGGCACTTGCATGGGCATGTGGGCCAGGTGTGTGTCCCACTAACGACACGAAAGAACAGGAAAAAATATGTGGAGAGTGTGTGTCCACCTTCTCCAGCTATTTCCTCAGCCTCTGCTTTCCGTGGATTCCCCTATTATCAAGTTAATTTCATCATTTAATTACTTATGTGCGCACACACACACACAAACACATATATCTATATGAGATTTTAACACTCAGGTTGCTTCTAGGGCTCCTGACAAATATTAACTTTGTGTCAATATTTGTCCTTCCTGTCGTGAAATGAGGATTTTCCACCTCATTTCACATTTGAAAAGAAAAATGCGCCGAGGGGGTCCTCTTTGCTTAGGAAAAAAAACACCACCAACAACAACATCTCATATCCTTTATTTAGAAAAATGGAGCAGGAGGGAAGAAGGGAAGAGTATTTTTAAAATAGATGTTTTGACTTAAAGGCACATAGAGTCCTATGCAAGTCTCCTGCCTTTTCCCTAGTTCCCCAATGCCAAATAAATAAAATAAAATAAAATAAATTCTACATTTAAAATTGAATGAAATACATCAACATTAATGATTTTCCCCTTCAGGTTAACACCACCATTTCCTTCAATAATTTTTACCCATTTCGTGATAGATTTCACAATTCATGGTACAAGGAAAAATATAGTAATTTTTTGACAAAAACAAAAGGCAATGTCAGTTTTTTATCAAAATAAAATAAATCTCCCGCAATTTTCTTTCCATCCGACTGGATTTGCCCGTCAGTTATTTCTAATTTAACTACAATTATAGTTACAAAAATATAAAAGCGAGTCGGGGAGGAAGGGGGAGGGGAGAGATAAATGGGACACTGTTTAGAAATTGCAATTCATTGGCCTTGGGCTGGCCAGCACATATCTTGGCTGAGGGGGAAATATTCATCAGCATTAACTGTTCCTTTTGACCTCCTGACATTCAAATGTGAAATAAATAATAAAAAAAAAAGGCCCAGGAATAGGACCTTAGAAATCCAGCAAAGGTAAATTATTCTGGGGTTGGTTGTTTTTGCTATACAAAAGGTTTTCTATGTTTCTTGAGTTCAGATGTTCCCCATAAATAATTTTGGCCCCGGTTTTCCTGTTTAATCCCTGGCACAGGGTCCTCGTACCTACACACACGTTCTTTGAAAGCAAAGGCTCTGCAGATGCTGATCTTGTAAATCTTTGCATAGGTAAGAGAAAATAAGCCCATCGACTTCAGCAGATGCTGAAACGAGGCATCCCCCATCGTTTTTAGAAGTCCCACTGGCTGTAAATTAGGGATATCACTCAATTGAGTTTAGCAGTGTTCCCTTGGGGGATAAACACACAGATATGCAATGTTAAGTAACTTATTTGTGGCTGGTTTCTCACAAAGTGTGTGTTAGGAACACACACAGAGGAATGCACGGTGGCACGTGTGCTTGCTTGTGTATTTGTGTACATCCGTGTGTGAAATACACACACACAGATATATATATATATATCTTCATAGCAGGGACCGTGTAAATAAAAATGGAATGATTGCTTTAGGCTGCTAATTCTTTCTTTTAAAGAAAATGATTTTAGAAGGAAATGAGTCTCATAACATCATAGTGCGGGGGGTTTTATGCTCTCCTGTTTATCGTTCCTCCATAAAAACTTTGAAGCCCCTGGCCAATTTCGGTCACGTTTGTGGACTCAAAGATACTATGTTCCTGCAAGTTTTGCTAAAGTAGGTGCCCAAGTAGAGAAAAAACAGTTATTAGTGCTCTGGAAGGAAAAACTGTAGCATAAGCTCACCCTCATTACACACCACAGAACTTGTGTTCACCCTTCCCTTTCACACACAAATCCATAGAAAAAAAGGGTTAGTACTCAAAATGTTTGTTTTTGCATTTGTTGTT